CCCCCCCCCCCCCCCCCCCCCCCCCCCCCCCCCCACACACACAGGTGGTGACCGTGTCTGAAGCGATGCCAGCCTTGCTCGCCACTTGCTTCGCGCTGTATCACACCCACTACATGTCGTTGAGGAGGAGCCCTTTCCCGGCACCGTTCCGGTAAAAATTATGGAAACGTTCCACGTAAAAACATGGAATAAGTGTGTCTTGAATGCTTGCTTGGAATCTTTGTCCGTATGGTTGTGGGACCGTTTGGGGTTTTGTCGAGCATTTTCCGAGAAGTAAACGGGAAAAAGAGCCCGGCACCATTCCGGTAAAGAAGAACAAATCGTTCCACGTAAAGTATGGAAAATGTCTTGAGTTGGAAAATCGCTGTCCATGGTGTGACCGTTTGAAGCATAGTCTATATGTTATTTTTTTTTTTTCTGAGAAGCAAACGAAGAAATGGACACGACAGTCCTGACAGAATCCACCGTAGGCCAGAAGACCAACCACGGTGCCCCCCCCTCCCGTTTGTGCACTGCATGGCACGGCAACAAACAGGGTTGAAGGTTGTCGCGCGACCGATGTAGTATTGTAGCACGTTGCGTGCGATGTAGAAGTAGCACGATGCGCGTCTTTTCATGCGCGCTCGCCGTCCGTCCATCCGTCTGTGCGTTCACAATAACTCAACAACAGTAGGTATAATAGTTGGCAGGTAGTCGGAATAGGCTCGCACTTTCCCCCAGCACACACAGCAACGAGCTACTGCCAGTATCTAGTCAAATTATCGCGACGTATCTTGAAACGTTCAGCTACCCCGAAAAGGCACAGGCAAAGCATACCTGACACTTCACTCACTTTGCGTCTCGAAGCAAGGGAACAATGCTTCTACGCACTGCAAAAAATCACAGCTGCGCCGCCCCTCCTGACAAAGCGTTCGTGCCCGAAGACTGACTGACTAAGAGTACCTTCCAAATAAACAGCGTCGACCCCATTCTCATGCTTTGAAAACAATGCCCAGGTACGAGCTGAGAGAGCTGCCCTTGAGCCTAATGATAAGGCTTACGGCCGGGGAGGCGTGGCCGGAGAGAGCGGTCGGCGGCGGCGGCGGCGGCGGTGGCTGCTGCTGCCGCGACGAAGGGTGAGCGTGGACAAAGGGGCCACGGGGACCCCGGGATCCACGGGAGAACGGTTTAGATTTGGTCGAGAACGGAGTTGCTGGGTAGAGGCAGGCCACAATTTTGATCAGAACACCGCCATTTAGAACGACGCCGACGACGAAGACGATTACGACGACTTTCACCTCCACGAATTTCCATCGTTATTCGAGTCCGACCGCGCAAAACTCGCGACGCAAGGGTGGAGTGGAGTTCTGCGTTTTCTTGGTTCCCTGCTAGCTTTTTCGTTTCGAACTCGTGGCATACATGAGACACCTGTCAAGTTGGTGCGGTTGAATGCGGTGACGTCCTGTGGTTGAGTTTGTTATTGTCTACTTGGAGGTATGCGGAACCAGTCCGTCTTTGTTCGAAACTCAGTCGTATGCTAGAACACACGAAACACACTGGAGGTTGTTGGCACTTTTGGATGGATGATTCCTTCATGTGCCTCGCCGCTTGTCGCGAACACGGCGGCCTGTCCTATTCGCTCGTAGAAAGTACTGAGCAGAGACCGGAACGTTTTTTAGTGCGAAGACAAAAATGACAACAACAACAACTACAACAACAACAACAACAACAACACCTACGGCACTACACATTCCATCATCATCAGGTTGGCAAGCTTGCACGCCTTCATGCTGCCGGCGGTGATGGACGTCTGTCCGGAGCTATTCTGCCCGGAGCAGAGGGGGGACAGCTGCGACGGCAACGACTACGGCGACGTCGTCGACGCCACTGCTGTTGTCGAGCCCCCGAGCGGAAAGTTCGCGTCTGGGCAGGAGGTGAATGTATCTATGTATCTGTATTGAATCTCCCTTTCTGTGAAGACGGGAATTGTTAACCGGTCGTGCGAACATGTGCGTGTGTGTTGGATACCGCGTGGGGGGAGGTCGGTGTTGTTGGAAAGGTCGCGGAAGTCTCTACAGGCGTATTGGGCATCATTCCGTCGCTCTTACCACCCTGCCTGCGCTTGTCACGATTGCTTCGATGTCGGGAAGATTTACACAGTCCCGCCGGATGACAGTAAGGTGTCCTACCCGCCACCCCTACCCCCTTGCGACCGAACTCACGGAGCCGACAAAAAGAAAGATTCACACCTTACACTCTGTATTTTCGAGTTGGTGTAATAGCACCGTCTTGTTTTATTGCCGTTGGTGCGTCGGGTCTAATCCCCCCCGCGCGCAGATCACGCCGCACCCGCTGGACAAGGCCTTCGTGCGAAGGGCGACGGGGGCTGTGGTGGCAGCGCCGGGAGGTGCCGTGGATGTTCTCCGAGCACTGCTGGCGTGCCCGGTGCCCGCGCTGCTCTCCACGGCGGAGGATGTGCTCAAGGGGGTGCTACCCAAGGTATGTATGATGTTGCTACTGCTTTTGCTGCTGCTGCTGCTGCTGTTGTTGCTTCTGCTGCTGGTGGATCGATAATATTGCTGTCGTTGGTCGCTGTTGTTTTTCATGTTTCAAGCTGCCGCTCGGGGGGGGGGGGGGG